AATAGAAAGTGTGGTGACTTAGTAAAGTGGTAGAGTTATTATATCTCCAAGCTTGCTTGACTATGATACTAAGCTCAAATTCTACTAGCGATATTTTAGACAAAATTATCTGTATTATGGTGACAGATTTTTCAAATTAGGTTAAGTTTATAACCTATTACTGGGATTACATCAATGCCTCTAGATGCTGGAAGTTTCTGAAAGCATTTATATCATTGCATGAAAGATGCAAACTGGTATAGGTAATGCAAACCTATAATAAGCCTTCTAAGAAACAAAAAATATTAAAGATATCTATATACAGAATCTGGATATCTAAAACTAACTCAGAGAACCTCAAGTCTTGGTGATGTTCCAAGTAAGGATTAGTGGCTTTTAATAGTGTTACAGAAGTAATCCAGAAATAGAAATTCAGATAACAAAGATCTTTGGGCAAAAAGATTTACTAACCAGGCCACTGGGATCACTAGAGCTATACTTTATTAGTTACTTTGATACCAGGTGTCTAGTGGAAGATCCTAGGATGAGATTTCAAAGAAAAAGAACTTATATTATGAAAGCTTGTACCAAGAATCAGAAGATTTTCAGACCTGAGACTGAGACCTTCAGGTTTGGGCAAACCAATTCTCCTAGGCTATTTGGATCAGAAAACCAAAAACTAAAGTATAGAGTATGAATGTGGGTACTAAGATCATGAATCTTACAAGAGATGAGAAGTAAGTAATAGAAATACTAATTAGAAAGGTTGTGCTTGAGATACAGATTATGTTATAGCAGTAATCCAAAAGGTGGTATGAGATATGAATACAATAGCAGCAGACAATATATACTAATTAGAATAAATATTACTAATGCACATGTACTATATGTGGAACATGATATATAGTATTAAATTTACCTCAAAAATAAGCCAAAAGGAGTCCTATAGTGGATACTAAAACTAGAAATATTGCAAAATCTACATATGAATAGTAAGCTACATCTGGGTTAGATATAAGGGCTTTGGGTTATGACCAGAAAGTTTAAATAGAAACTCTCTAGTTGGGTTGCAGATATAGCAAATAGTGTAGAACCTTTGGGTAGACCACTTAAATTAGATACCAAAAGTGCATATGTAGCTAGTTGTACTTTTATTATAATTGTAATAAGTTTTAAATACTTAATAAAACATTCCCTGGCTAAAGAGGTCACCTTAACAGTGAAAAAAAAATAAAAAATAAATTTAATAAAATCTATTTTTTTTGCTATTGCTTAAATTTATAAAATAAATATATAGTATACTGTATAGACTATTTCTATTCGTACACAGTGTGTTTGATATACAGTTATACAAAATAATAGAAAAATGCAATTTGTAGATTAATTTTTGTACAACAAAAACAAAGCAAAATATTAAAATTTAATTATATCTTAAAATTTTGCTTATAAAACTACTTTTTAAAAATTAAAGAAAAAATTTCTTGTAAAATTTTGGTATAAACTATGTTTGCTTCTATTATAGCTTCTAATACTAACTTTAATAATGGTTAAAATTAATTTTAAATTGTTTTTATTTTAATAAAAATTGTTAATTTATAAACACTGTGTATAAACATATAATATAATAAATAATAATATATGTAAGATACACATAGTGTAATTCAAGAAATTTTCTACTGTATAGTATATTAATTTTAAATATATAAATTAATTAGTTAAAAAATTATAAGTTAAATGTAAAATTTTTTATTAATTATAATTTTAAATTAAATATTAAATATATTCAAAAAAAAAAAAAAAATAGTATTAATTATATACAAATATAAGCTTAATATTAATGCTTTACATATATTCTAAATTATACTCTAACTAAAAAAATACAATACATATTTTAACTATACCATACCGTACCCAAAAGAATAATATTTTATAAGGTTCACAAATCATAATCTAGTATATATTTAAAATATTATCTGTACTGTACCTATATAATAAATATTTTTATTAGATACAGTTGTTAAAATAATATATATTATATTGCGTACCTACTAGGTACACAAAAATTACTACGTACATATATGTACTTTAGAAGTGTACTGTACCTTACACAATACTTAAAACTGTACCGTACCAAAAAGGATATTACCTATTTAAACAAATAAATAATAGATGTATTATGATAAATTTAGTAAATTAGGTTCAAAAAATTTTTCACTAGAAAATTATAAGACACGGTAATAAAGTTTAGCATCATAATAGTAAAATAAATTTGTTGATGAAATTGTCGGTCTATGAAGTGATTGTCGGTGAAATAATATGGAATTATTACAACAATTAAAGATCTTATTAATTCATTGTCTGTGCTAATTTGTCTTTTATTCAAGTCAATTTAGCCAATAGACATAAACAATTATTTTTTAATCGAAATACTGAAATACGTAAAATAATTTTCTTTTCTTTTAGCTCTTTATGAGCATAAATCAAGGCACCCTTATATAATAAAATTTTTGTAATATTCATAAATTTCTGTTTTGTGATTTATTTTTCATTCACATTATCTTCAATGAGTTCCAATAACGTTTATCTGTTTCTTCATCTTTTATTAATTTCGTCACCCTTTGAGTTTCGTCAGTTTCGACACCTTGCTTCACCTTTCGTCGAAACTAGGTTCGACTTTCGTCAGTGTGAAACCTCGAAATTAATAATAAATACATAACATCATTTGCATCATGAACCCGACAAATATAAATCATACAGGGTGGTCCCCAAATTTCTGGGTCGGAGTGCATCGGGGTGCACCAGAATCCTGGTCGGTTAAATCGGAATTGATTAATGATGCCCAAGATCACTAAAAATTTTACTAATTAAACCATAGCATTTACTACGTAAAAAATGCCTAGCTGATAATTTTGTTATAGAACCTGCTAACTACTAGGGCTAAATGCCGAAGATATGTCTGTCAGAATTGGATAGCAATACAGGTGCCTGCGCAGATTATCTTCAGGCGTTACATAATTTATTGCAATCCCGGTCATCTGATCTGCTATAGCAGAGATGATCATACAATGCACAAATATGGAATGCCGATCAGATGATACCAAGAACCGTATTGGTATACGAAATACACAATACTAATAAAGGTTATATTGTTGCAATTTTTTTTCTATTAAACTTTTTTATTACTGTTTGGGGTGCTACAAAAAGTCACAAGAGATTTTTATCCAATCAGATGCCGAGAATCGCACACATCATTTCACTCGCCTGTAAACCATACACTACGTACTTTGTACTCCGTTCCTGGTAAAACTATTATCCCTATTAAATCGATTATATCTATTATCTTCGTTATAATAGTTATCCGGGGTATATCTAATTTCTTCATTATATCCAATATATCGCTGGCAACTCTTTTTTCGGTTAGCGATCTTCATAACCGGGGTAACGTGAGCTGGCGCAGCGGTTATTAGATCACGTTTTTCAGGCCTCACACTATATATATGTTGGTATATATATGTTTGTTTTATAATAGTGGGAAATGACCCAGTTCCTCGAATTGATCAAATTGATCAATTAGATTGTTTCAAGTAGATAATTAAATTATAAATATTCAAATAGTAACATTGGTCAGAACTTGCGGGAGGACACCCTTTTAATTTCACACTTATCACTGTAACTATAACCACACCTACCACAACACCGACCACCAAGCCTACTATCAAAACGTTTACCATCACTACATAACACCTTTCACTACGCCACTGCCACATCTATCAACTTGATGAAAATATAATATTACTTTTGAACGAATGCTATTTTATTTCCGATTCAACTTGGGTCACCACACCAAACATTGAATATCCAATTTACACGTCATCTAATTTATTCTGGATTGCCAGCAATATGAAACCATGTGGAAATGATTGCAACAAACTTTTTAATACTTTTCTTTCGAATACTGCTATGGGCGATTAACAAAAATTCTCTACATATGTATCAACGGAAATGAACTTGTATTGATGAGTGATATAATTAATAATCAAATATTCGAACCAATATTATTGGGATTGAATGATGATATAGAAGGAAACAAACCATCACAATTATAAGGACAATAGGCCTTATACCTTATCAAAACGCAATTATCTCCATGATCTTATTTATTTGCTATTTAATATTTATTATTAGCATTAAATAATACTTACTAAATATTTTGCTGTAAATAATAATCTTTTTAAAAATAATAATTTATTGTCCAGAGATTCTTTTAACGATAATACTTTAATTTATAATAAATAATTTACAATTTTTATGTAGAATCAAATCGTAGAAATTGTTCTTTTCATGATCTTCGAAAATTTTGGTATAAAGGAAGCATCTTTTCTTTAAGTTTTAAGATATATAAAATATACTGTGACAATTACATCGGAAGAAATAGATTCAGATTATATTATAGGTTGTCAAAAAAGAAGGAATATGCAATAAATGATGCTAATTTGTTAAATTGACCGGTTAAAATCATAAACGGCGCCAATTTTTAATGTCCTGGCATAAAAAGCTTGATAAATGATAAAATATTTTCAATCTTGTTTAATTCTGCGTGAAATATACAGATAAATGATGTTTTTTTAACTGATCGTGAAAGTTAATTTAAATGGGAAAGAAATGAAATAATGGTTGAAGAAAATATTTACAAGAAATAAAGTAATGGAAATAGATACATAATTGCAGGAAAAGGTTTGCCCTTTTTTAAAAAGATATGTTCTCACGTCCTATTATAGTAATTTATGATTTCTTAACAGTATAGTGGAATTTTTCATAAACATATTCGGTCGATGATAACTATAGAAAGAAAGGATACAGTTTATAAAGTATTCAAAAAGAGCAAGGCTTTAATATTCATAATGGAGTCTTGCCATAATTAAAAATTTCTAGCGAATTTAGGATTTTTTTAAACGTTTTTCAATTGAAAACAGGAAATATATTGCGGATTCTGAGAAAAATATTTGATAAGGCCATACGTAATGGGGAAGGACAAACAATTTTTACAACAAAATATTATTAAGACCATAGATATTTATATTGGTAAATGTGTTGGTGAGCTCTTAGTTTTAATAATAAATTGGCTTATAAAATTATTCATTGATATTAAAGGACTGTTTAATTACTATAGAGCCAAAAGATATTCATAGCTTAGATGAAATTTTATTACCAGTAAGTATTATTTCGATAATACTTGCTATAATTGCTGTGAAGTGAGTACCTTTTTTATATATATAAAAGTTTTTTCATATTATTAGCTTAGTTTCTCATATAAAATTAGGAATGCTACTATTATAGGATCTTTTAAAAACTTCAGACGCCTTATTAAATTTTCAAAAATATTAGACTTTATATATATCAATAGCTTTATAAGAAATTTACGATGAAAGTTTTTTTAAATCTTCAAATAAACTGTTAAAATTCAGTTACTTTGTGTCAGAGGTTTTCATAAGTCTGATAAAAATATTAAAATATAATATATTTTTAACGCACACATTTATACTATGTTCTTGAAAGTCACAACTCATATTTTTCTATGTTTGCTCATGCATGGCATGCTAATATATTCTCTACATAAAACTTATTATTTTTGTCATTTAATGTTATAATAAAATTTATTTCAAAGCATAGAATTATAATTATCAGTCGTATTAGACTAGTTGTCGAAAGACGTTTTAATGAGAAAAGAAATTAGGTTGCGCCTGGATTGCTCCTGTAAGTTATTTATAAACTTTTTTTTTGAATATTATTGTATTCTATTAATGTTCAAATTATTCTAAGATATTTCAATCTAAAAAATAGGTAGATGAACTACAATTTTATTTATATAATCCAGAAATAGCTCTAGATCTCAATCCAAATAATATAAATTATAATTTTATTGTTGACACAATGGGAATGTTTGTACAGAACTTTCTTCTATGTTAACTCCGCTTAATCGCGCTTATACCATTATTTTGCATTATGAAATAATTGAGAGATTAAATATATATTTTTTGAAAATTAAATTTAGTAAAGAAATATTGGCAAGAAATGTAATGGGAAACGATCTTAAATCTGATGAAATTGATATTATAGACGTTGGAATGTCAAGTATTGGCACGTTTTTTAACGTAATTAAAGCAATTTGAGGTAAGGAGAAATCTAATTCATCCATATTTGTTTAGTCTTATGCAATAGAAAATGAATTCTCTGAAGTTTTTGAATTTATTCAAGCTTTCCAGAAACCATACAATAGTTATTTTTAAAAAAAATTTGGGAAAATGTTAGTGCAGAAATAGTTAAAGCCCAAAAAATGTGACACTTCGAATGTAGCCACAGGTGATCTATCATTAAATCATAAAACTCGTAAAGATCAAAAGTGTTCACGCTGAGAGATGCAAGCTAATTATTCTGAAATTGAAAGTAGCAGATTGGATTGTGGAAAACAATGTTAAAAATGATCGGATACTGAAATAATTTGAATTTTGTTAATAGTGAATGTATTATTTTTTTTACTGTAAACTTTATTAATTAATTATTTATCTTTCTAGTCATTTTGGTTTTTAAAATTGTCACTTAACGTATGAAGCACCTCAGAATAGGTTAGATAGCATTGTTATGGAAAGCTATATGCATTGATGTGGAATAAAACAAATTTCGATCACTTCAAACATTTAAATTATAGAAAACATATCTAAACTGTTTATTAGAATAAATGATTGGTATGTTTTTCTGTGCTTGTTCTGATTTCAATAAAACATGGTAACAATTTGCTATATTTAGACCTTGATTTTACAAAAGTTTTGCACTATCTTGATGATTTAATCATCCACATAGATTTATCAACCGCATGGATTGTCAATGCAATTCTTCTCTTTTAAGCATCTTCCTAAACCTCCAAATTTTCGATAAAAATTTTTTTAGTAATGTACGCTTATCTTAATTTACATAAACGCTCTAGGTTTAGCTTTTAAAAGGGATATTGACATAAACAATTTTCAGGTTATTGAATTGTCATCATAAATTGGAGATTTGCATATACTATAATAACGCTAAATTGGCAATTTGGTCTAGTGAATCTCAGGGAAATCTGAATAAAACCAGACGCATAAATTCATTGGTCATTTCCCAATGGATAGTAAAATTGCAAATCTTACCACGGAGAAACCATTTATCGCTGTTTGCAGCTCACACATACAATCAACTGATTGTTGTCTGATTGCACTATTGTGCGAAGCAGTCTTTGAGAATATAGATATTATTTTTGAGGTTTTGCATATAAGAGAATCATAATTAAATTAATAAAATCGAAACAGAATAGTGAATTTTATTAAGTATATGATGTGTTTTGTTAAAACTATGATGAGAATGACTCAAGAAATTAAAGAGGTTTCTGAAGTCATGATATGTTTAATTGATTTTACTCAATTCTTTATGAATGAACTACCAGAGTTATTAAATTTTATATTGGGAATGTTATTCGAGATGTTGATTTTATGTTTCATTTATTGAATTTAATAATTAATTTTTCTAAAGATATTACAGGCTTATTTTTAAATTTTGTAAAGATTGATTGTTTTTTTTTTTTTTTTTGTTTTTTTTTTATCATGCTTACTGTTGTAAAATAAATTCAATATATTTACATGTCGTGAAATAAATTATACATAATTAACACCAAGAGAAATATCCACATTTGATATATCGTGTGGGAAAAAAAGCCAAAAGAACATACACGTGATTTAAAAACATTTATTGAAAAACTGTTACGGAATAAGTTTTTCTTTACATTTTCTAATTAAAAGGTTGATGAAATTTTCATAAAGATATTTAAATGTGGTTTTTCTTTTAAAATTTGATTTATATAAAAATCGAGAAGTAATTTTGATTTCTTTAAGGGTAGGTAACCATATAGCCTTTGGGACTCCGTTTTCTTTGAATGTTAAAATTAATTCGTAAATATGATCGTATATCTACCAAATAATAAATTTAATTTATTATTAATAAAATAAAAATAAAAATATATATTATACATTACTTGTTTGTAACGATTTTTAGTTGAGTTAGCGTAGTCGTTAGAAATGGAACAACTGAGCTGGTCTTTGACCCATTTCTTTTTAGTCTTGCCATTTGTGAATATGATGCTATCGGAATCTTGTATAATTCTATACGTATGTTCTAATAAGCTTTCAACACGTTCATATTCATAAGTTCTTATCTTTTCCTCGGTAGATTCTTTTACGTATTCAATATACATTCGCCATTCAGTAGGATCATTTGAATTTGGTTTTTCGATTATATTAGTTGCTGTTGGTGTGTTACTTAATCGCAGCATATATTCATTTAATTGAGAGATAATATAATTTGAATTGGAATCAATACTATCGTGATCCATATTGTAAGGTCAATGCATAAAGTCTTAATGCTTTCCCTCCTTCAAAATAGATTTAATTATTCTGAAAGTTTCAAAAAACTCAGTGAACTGAAAGAATGAGAAATTCTTTATTAGGGCTAAATTTGTTTACCTTGGGGATTTACGTGTGAAAAATTTTATCATAGCATGAAAATGCATGATAAAAGGATGATATCATTCTATATCGATAAACATGTGAGATTTTACGGATTGCACAAAATCAAAATTTTGTGATTTGTTATCGTTATTGCATTATAAATCAAATACAGAAACATTACTGATATTCATATATGATAAGGTAAAATTGTGGCTTTTTATTTACGGATGAATCGATAGTATGTGAATTTTATAATGGACACGTTGATACTTACTGTAGGGTTGCATCGGTTTTAAAACGGTCCCAAGCAAATTACTAAATTTTGAGATGATTTTTTCATCGAGAGTTATACTTTCTTATTAGCAAAAATGACATCAAAAATCTAGAGATGATCTAAAATTTTGTATCGGTCTGGACCAATACAAAATTATGGATCATTTTTTTTGCTAATAAGAAAATATACTTTAAATTTAATTCCGAACAACATTAATTAATAACTCTCGATGAAAAAATCATTTTAAAATTAGTAATTTGTTTGGGACCGATTGGGACTGATTTAGAACCGATACAACCATATTAGTACGCATTAAATACAATTTCTTTTTTTATCAAAGTTAGGAGATGATCATGAGATATTATGTACATGCTTGTTAAAAGAATGACCCAAAAATACCAATGTACTTACGTATAATGACTATTAAGTATGATAAGGCAAAGTTGTGGCTTTTTCTTATTTTGATTGGACGAAAGTATGAGTAAAAATAATCAAAATTTGCAGATCGTGCGATTGTGAGTTTTTTTTTGAAATACGTATAGGTGTTACTTAGGGGATACGATATGGTGACAACTGTAAAACGGCGAGTCGGTCGCTAATCGAACCGAGGCTTCGTGTAACCTACGATCGGCTTAGTCGAGAAGAGGCGTTTAGATTTGACGAGTGGTGATTTTAATCGTAGGTATGTCTTCTTTACTATTTCAGGAACTCAATAAAACTCGATAACGTTATACTTTCAAATAACAAACAATTTAACAAAACCACGGCTCGAGTTCTTCACAATAACCCAAAACCGGAATCAATAAACCACAGAATCCACAGTCCGTCGGGAAACTGGAAATCAACCACAACTATCTTCGTACGTCGAGACAGCCGGAATATAACAACCACGGAGGCTCTCAGTACGTCGAGAAACAACTGGACAGAGTTTCGGTACACTTTACGTTTATCACGTGAGCAAGAGACAGCGATCGTATTACTTACGCCACTTAAGTAATAGATCAGGGTGTAAGTATTTTATTTAACGATTAATATGGTATGGAATTATTAGGAACGAAGTTTATGTGAATCACCGAGGATTATTTTCCTCCAAGGGCGAGAGGCCTTTATTATATACATTTTATTACTTAGGACCAATTATACATGTTATCTTTGTTATATTTATTTTGCCAGGGATGTATTATATATTATATTGATCATTGATATCATTAATATTTGTTATTCCAATGATATTATATTTACCGGGCATACCAGGTATACCAGGTATATTACCGGGATATCTATTTTAAGCAAAAGATCAACCCATCCATTAATTTGATACTGCGCCGCTTCAATCATCATCTCACACGTGTTACCGGGGCACATTTCTGCGGTTCACAATGGATGTAAACTTATAAAAATATTTTATTTACATTGAGTTTTTAGGATAGTTTAGTGTGCAACCAAAATTCAGCAGATCGACCAAAATTTAGGCTGGCATTAAGCAATAATACCAGAAAACATAATAGCAGAAATTAGCAAACTTATGATACCGCTTTATTAGTAAAATTTATTGGTTGTGTTTAGTACCACCAAGATCATGAACATAATAACTTGACAATCTAAGCTAAGAAAACTCCAATAAATCCTAAAATCAAACTAACATAATATCGACATCTAACATATAATCCCCTCCTAACAATTTAAATTATTTGATTATTCAATTAAATATATATTAAGAGTTTAATAATATATTATTAATAATAAAAATAATAAATATATATATATTATATTATATTATTTTATGATTCTTAATAATTTTAGTTAAAAAAATAAATAAATTATTCATAAATCATCAGAATTTTCATATTGTTCTAATCTTTCTGATATTTCCCATGTATCAATAGGTTGACTGATATACATATAATTCGAATGTTTTGATGATTCAATGATGGGCTTAATTTTATCAGCTTCTAAAAATTGTTTTTTTATTATATTTTCATCATAAGAGTTTTCTATTTCTTCAATCCAATAAATAATTAAAGCATTAATGGATCGAATAGTAGGTCGTTTTTTTGGGTTTGAGTCCATGCACCGCTGTGCTAGTTCAATATAACAACCAGGGACACCAGATGTAAATTCTGGTCGTAATCCACGGCAAATTTCTACAGCAAGTTCATCAAAATTATAACCATCGAAAGCCTTTCTTCCAGTTGATATTTCTGTCATAATGATACCTAAAGCATATATATCAACTGCTTGAGTATATGGTTTTCCTTGTAAAATCTCTGGTGCTATATAAGGTAAAACTCCATGCACTTCTTTTTTGGTATTAAAAAGTCCCAAATCCGTAATATAAGCGTTTTCCAATTCGTCCTGCAAAATGTTTCCGCTATGAAGATCTCGATGTTCTAATCCTTGTGAATGAATTGCTTCGAGATCTGATGCTATACATCTTAATAAGTTTAATTTTTCTTCCCATTTCATTTGTGACACTTCGTGAAGATTATTACGTAAAGATCCCTTTTCTGCATATTTAAAAATAAGAATATAATTTCCTGAATCTTCTCTCGATAGTCCGTAACATTTTAAGAACGATGGGTTTTTATATCCAATTTCGCAAAATGCTTTTAACTTTTTAAAAAAATATTAAAAATAAATTTAAATATTATATAACAAAACATAATAACTTTACCTCGTTAAAAAAATCTTGTTCATGAATTTTTTTAATTGCGAACGAATATTTATCAGAAGTATCTTTATACCAAATTCGACATTTAGCATGATAAACCGTTGCAAACCCACCCTTTCCAATCTCTTTAATATTTTCAAATTTATTATATGGAATCCATAGTAATTGATATCTTTCTTCATCCAATATTTCTTTCACATTGTCATCAACATCAAAATATGTGAATTTCTTTATTTCTATTCATAATTAAATCTATAAATGTAAATACTTGACAAATAAAACAAAACCAAAATAATAATATTATTAATAATATTTAACAATATTAATATTATTAATATTATTAATATTATTATCGTTATTATTATTAATTAATTAAATACCTTGAAATTTATTTTTCTCCCTATTAATTATCATTATTAAAATGTTATTATCATTATTAATAAATATACTAATAAATTTTTTTTTTGAAGAAAAAACTTACATTCGGAACCAATATTCAGCCTCTTTTAAATCTTTTTTTGTCCCAATACCATTTCGATAACAATATCCAGCACTTTTCATTCCGCTAACTAGACCAAGTTTAGCGGATTTCAAATATAATTCAAAAGCTTTTTTCAAATCCTTTTTAATTCCGGCACCATTCTTATAGCATTCTCCAAGGTTAAAAATTGAAACAATCTCTCCCATTTCAGCAGCTTTTTGATAATAAAAAAATGCCATACTTTCATCTTTTTCAATCCCTTCTCCAAGTCGATAGCATTCTCCAACATTATACATTCCATAAATATTTCCCAAATCGGCAGATTTTTTAAAATAAATGAATGCCTGATTTGCATCCTTTTCAACACCAATTCCATTAAGGTAACAACACCCTACATTATATATTCCATAAGGACATCCCATCTCTGCGGATTTTTGATAATAAATGAATGCTTTTCGTTCATCTTTTTCAACTCCAGTTCCATGACGATAACAATATCCAACATTACATGTTCCCAATGCATTTCCCATATCTGCAGATTTTAGATAATAAATGAATGCCTTACGTTCATCCTTTTCAACTCTAATTCCATTTTGATAACAGACGCCCAGCGCCAATATCCCACTAGTGTCTCCCATCTCTGCAGATTTTTGGTAATAAATGAATGCTTTATGTTCATCCTTTTCAACTCCAATTCCTTTATTATAACAATGTCCAACATTAAATGTTCCACTAACGTGCCCCATTTCTGCAGATTTTTGATAATAAATGAACGCTTTTTGTTCGTCCTTTTCAACTCCAATTCCATCTTTATAGCAGTTACCAAGTGCAAATGTCCCGCTAGCATTTCCCATCTCTGCAGATTTTTTATAATAAATGAATGCCATTTGTTCATCCTTTTCAACACCAATTCCTTCACTATAACAAAATCCAACGTTATGTGTCCCATCAGTATTTCTCATCTCTGAAGATTTTTGATAATAAATGAACGCTTTGTGTTCATTTTTTGCAACTCCAATTCCATTAGAATAGCAATATCCAACCATATTTGTTCCATCAGCATTTCCCATATCTGCTGATTTTTTATAATAAAGGAATGTCTTATGTTCATCCTTTTCAACTCCAATTCCATTTTGATAACAGTCACCAAGTGCAAACACACCATTAGAATCATTCATGTCAGCAGATTTTTGATAATAATTGAATGCTTCACGTTCATCCTTTTCAACTCCAATTCCATCTTTATAACAGTTTCCGAGTGCAAATATTCCACAAGCATTTCCAATATCTGCGGATTTTTTATAATAAATAAATGCCTTATGTTCATCCTTTTCAACTCCAATTCCATTTTCATAACAACGTCCAGCGTTTCCTATTCCACTAGCATTCCCCATCTCAGCAGATTTTTGATAATAAATGAATGCTTTATGATCATCTTTATCAACTCCAATTCCATTTT